AAAAAAGTTGCTATGGGTGGTAAACATTCCATAGCAAACATTCCTGACAAAAGATATATTGCTATGGCTCTTGATTGGCTAAATAGCTTACTTTGATCATCAGATCGAACTATGTCTTTCTAGAGGCTTTTCAGAACTTCTTCATGATAAAAGTTGCCAGAAACCAGGTTGAAAAGAGCTGCAGTTGTGAGAAAGCTACTTCTGCAGCATACTTCTGAGTCGCTCCCTCCCACCAATGAGGAATCAACCACTTGGTTCTTGTCAGGGTGTGTTTAACTATTGAGAAGTAATTACTCATGTTTCTGTAGGTTTGAGCATTCGTCTTGTCACAGAGTGACACTGTCCAACCCTTAAAGAGGTGTAGTTGTCCACAAATGGACATTCACACTATTAGTCATAATGACTTAAAACTGGTGTTGTTGTTGTTCAACACCCCATTATCCGATAGGCATGTGGGAGGATCAGCAGGCAGAACAAGGCGGTTCCCTAAACAGTCCCCCCGTTCCCCCATCTGCTGCTCCCACACTCTTAACAAAAAACACATGTACTCTGAGCCGCCTCATGCTTGTGGAATATTTGATCTACAGCTGCTTGTCCTGGGGTGAGATTGTTTGAGCACAATCAAGGACTGAAGGAGAACAGATTTGGGTTGTACTGACATGGCATCTCTGAAAACTATCCTTTTTCTGGGAGTTTGTCTTTCAGCTTGGATCGTCATTACTGCAGGTAAAACTATGTGATAGATAGATGAAGAGATGGAAAGATAGATAAGATAGATAGAGCATGTTGATTGATGATTATGTTATATCTTTTCAGACAGAGGTAGGCCTGTGTCAGGTGATACACAACTATGCTGTGAGGCTTTTTTCATTATGAAATACTTACATGTGAGATGTAATAGAGGTGAATGGAATGTCCTCAGACCTCACTAATGATCTCACAACTGAGCCCCGTTGATAGAGAATGGACAGAGGACAACTATCGTTCATGGAAGATGCCCGAAAACATAATTTTCATGTTTGGTGTTGTTTGGATATACACAGTTGCTATGTTTATGGAAAACGAAAACTCATGCTAAAAATGCCATGTTCAATGTAGGTTTATATTGGAAATGTGAATAATGCTCAAATAATAGGTTATACATTAATAAAGTTTATAAAGTAGGGATCTTAATGGAGTTGAATGCATCCCATTTTATACCTATCACCTTGGGTCATTGCCAACCCAGCATTTCAATATTTTATATGGAAAATCAGACTCAAGTGCATCACAGATGGCAGATACATACACAGATACAGGTACACTTTATTGTAATAGCCTCACTATTTTGGCTCACAGTTGACTTTACGTTTGGTCTGTTTATGAGGAAGAAGAGGGTGGGTAGTGGGTGTCAAAGGTTTTCTCCAACAGATGTACCAAGTTTGTTGACATTACACTCACTCACTGAAAAATCTAAACCAGGTAGGAGTATTGCCTCGTAGTTGAAGAGTTGAAAGTAATGTGCTGTAATGTAAATATTTCATTCACAGAGCAGAACTTTGGGTCTAAAGTTGAGAATGTTCACTGGTTGTCTCTGGACTTTAAAACTGTCCTGATGTGGACTGCTAAAGAATCTCACCACAAAAACCTGTACAATGTCCAATACACTGGGTAAGTACAAACACACACACACACACACACACACACACACACACGCACACACACACACACACACAGACCATTTGGTACATTTCAGAGCTTCAAATTTGACCAGAATCTTAGACAAAGGTTAAGGGTAATGCTTTACTTAGGCACTTGAGTTTTTCATACATTTGAGAAAACTAAATATGAAACACTGAAGTCTATCTTTACAGAATAATACACAGCTCTGAAGTATTTAAATTGGTTACATTTTCCTTGCATTATCAAGATTTACTGGAGTCAATAATAAAAAATGACTGCTTTCGTTGTTATTACTGAAAAGTTTACTGGATGGACTGGGTGGCTCCATTGCACCACCAAGTCTTATTACTCTCTCTGTATGAAATGGATTACTCTCACAGGGGAAGATGAACAGAGACAAATGGAAAGGGTGAACAAAAATGTGGGTTGTGTGGTGGGCTTGTGGTAAAAAAAGGTTTACAAGAAAAAGAATTGCAGGTGAGAGGGAGAAGTACGGGGGGAAGCTGGGACCTCCCAGCTTCAGGCAAGCAGAGCGATAAATCTTGAAACGGGGGGAGTAAAAGAGGGACAGGAAAGTAGCGATGCGAAACAGAGGAGGGTAAACTGGAGCATTTACTTTAGAGATAGCCAAAACAAATAGATCTATGCACAGAAGCTGCTACGTCGGCCCTTTATGTTTTGCCTCTCCACAATAATGTACGGTGCTTAAGGGACCAGTCAACAATAAGACACACAGCTCCAGAAAATATATTCCTACTACAAATTATACTTTTCAACCGGAGGCCTTAGAGATAAAATACATCTGAAGGAGTTTTACATAACAGTTCAGATTACAGTTGTGCAATACATTCTCATATAATGGATTTAAGACCAAAGTCTGCAGATAGTATACGTCCTGTTGGGGAGTTATTTTAATATTTTTTGTAAGAGTTGTTGGTGTGGCTGAATAAAACCTGTCAGGGTATGATAAAAGAAAAGAAAAATAAACAAATGAACATGAAAAACCACAACTATCTGCAGGCAACTTTCTTTGAAAGTCCTCATTGCTCCTTAGTCTCTGACCCACTGATTCATGTATGTGTGGATTGTTTGGTGGTGTGCTATCAGCATAAAGACAAAGTGACAGCTGTGGTATTTGTTTATGGTTGATAACGAACCAAAATGTTGGTCCTAAAATTTGTCCCCACAGATTTTTCATCTTTCTATCTTGTGAAAACCACTTCCTATCAAACACAACCACATGGGCCAATGAAAATAATGAAATACAAAAATGTTCTTCCAGAGCCAAATAGATTTTACAGTTCTTTATAAACATCCACCCATTTCATAAAAGTGCAAAATTATATTTTTGACAGGTGGCGAGTCCATTAGAGGGTTTAAGCCCAACACACTGTGGACAGTTATTTTTTATTGGACAGTTCTGCACTGAGATAATACCACAGAGAAACGAGGGGCAACATGCAAACTTCACACAAAATGTGTTGACGAGCACATTCAGACATCAGCATTTTTTTGTTGTGCAACTAAACTACCTTGTACACAAATATAAAAACACTTCTTTCAAGGTGCTTGTTTAGGGTTACTTATCCTTAACAGCTGCTTCTATATGTATATAATTTACTTAAGGATACTGTATATTTCTGTGTGCATTGCCATCTAAGCAGAAATATAAGAACAAACCCATCACACTGTACAAAGTCAACCATGAATATCTATGGCTGCAGCATCTGTTTTAGACTTGCATGGAGGCCAAGAGAAATCAGTCGTGTTGTTATGGCAATGAAGCATTGATTAATGTATTGTTTGGTGGTGTGCTTGAGCATATCATAAAACAACAAGCAAATGTGCACTCTGAGGAAACCTACACATTTATGAGGGCTAACATGCAAACATCACACAATAAACATCATGCTGACGAGTACGTTCAAACCTTGAGCTCATACTATATGAAGCACCATATATACTAACAAAAAACTCAGAGAGAGCTTATCAAGCTATCTTAAGCACCTGCTTCTATATGCTCACTTTACCCAAGGGATACAGCATATATTTGTGTGTGTAGACCTCTGCGCACACAAGGAGAACGAATCCAGCAATGAAAAGTGGCAGCAAATGTGACTCAGTGTGCACAGTATACTGTCACTCCATGAACATCATGTAGATAAGTCTGCTGTATCTGCTTTAAACTTACAGAGTGAAAGTAATTGTGTTGTTATGGCAATGAACCAGTGACATGCTGAGTTATCCTGACTATATGAAAACCAGCATATAATCCATCATAATATATGCAGGCATACACGCGATACCACACACACACACACACACACACACCAGTCAGCAGAAGATATGTACTCACACCCAAGGTCACTATACAGCAATATAAAGAAAGCAGAGATTCTATATATATTAATAAGACTGTACAAAATCACATTTCAGGACACACATACACAGTGAAACCAAATCAGCGTGGACATATGTCTGTGGTTACATCATGGTCATACTTGTCTCTCATGAAGGATATTTTGCCTCAAGTGCTGTGTCCTGTGGCATGGTTAAATAGAGGGGGAAGAGACGAGATAAGTAGCAAGGACGGAGGCGGAGAGGAGAGCAGAGCAGATAAAGTTGCAATGCTGCATTTGCCATAAAATATTCCCCCGTGGTGCAAATACTTGAAGTGAAAGAGGAATAAGTTAACTCTGGAGAAGTTTGTGCATCCATAGGAGAGATTGTGTGTGTGTGTGTGTGTGTGTGTGTGTCAGCTCATTGTCTAAGACAATATGTGCGTGCAGAGTGTGTGTGGATTACAAATGTGACAGGATTTAACCCTATTCACCTTTTTGGTCTAAATGCGTATATGCTTGTTTGTGTGTATGTGTGTGTATTTATGCTTACCCATACAGACATGTCTTGCG